GTCCATAGAACACGCCCCAGGTTTCCCATAGCAAACGGGTTCCTTGGGTCTGAGCCTCAGGTGCCACCAAAGATGTATACATCTGGCACGGGGCATACTCCTACCTCCTCTTGGGCCATGTGTAATAAAATCAATAGTGAGCGAGCTAGGCTCCGGGCATCCCTCGTGAGGCTGTCATGGTTGCTGCAGACCCATGCCTGCTCGGAGCTGCTCAGTTCCATAAACTGTCACTAAGGACTGCGCTGTTGACCGTGGCCTGCTTTGGTTTCATGGTCATGGCCAGGCATTTTCCTCTTGTGCATATGTGTTTAAAAATTTACTGTGTGTAACTACACGTTTCTATGTGAAGCATAGCCTTGTTCAGTTAAAGAAGGAATGTTTGGGCATTGGCTTAACTGGCTAATCCACCTTCAAACACTGGCATTCTGTGTGGGCATCGGTTCATGTCCTGGCTGCCCCACTTCCCATCCCGCTCCCTGCTTGTAGCCCTGGGAAGCAGCAGAGGGCTGCCCAGGTTCTGCACCCACGTGGGAGACCTGGGAGAGGCTCCTGGTTTCTGATTGGCTCAGCTCCAGCTGTTGTGGACTTTGGGCGAGTGAACCAGTAGATGGAAGATCTTTTTATCCCTCCTTCTCGTTGAAAAATATACCTTTCCAATGAAATAAATTAATTTTAAAAAAGAATAAATGTTGGCATATCATGCCTGCCGCTGTTGGGGGCACAAGGGGGCACATCAGCAAAGGAAAGATGCTGAGGTGTGTCAGCCCGCTCACATGACCATAACAAAATTCTCAGGCTGCATGATTGATAAAGAATTTCCTGCTCCAGTTCTGGAGCCTGGGATAGTGGAGTTTGAGTGCGGTGGGGGCCTGCCTGCTCCTTGCACCTGGAGCCGCCTCACTGGGCACTGGGCTGGAGGAGGGCACACACGGGCTCCCTCAGGTGTCTCTTGCAGCGGCACTAACGTATGCGGAGCCTGGTTGAATGGCCATGAGGGCTCGGGTCTCGGTGGAGTAGATTTCAACACAGGGTCTGAGGAGGGATCCAGACATTCAGACCACTGCGGACTGCCACCCCAAGGACCACACTCATACTAACATACACATCAGTGTACACCATGATTTTTTAAAAAATTCAAAAAGAATTTGAGAGTCAGAGGTACAGTGGGAGCGATGGAGGAAACACTGGGAGCAACAGAGGAGACCGTGGGAGAGAATGCACTTCCCTCTGCTGTTTATTCCCCAGGTAGCTGCAGCAGCCAAAGCTGGGCCAGGAAGGAGCCAGGAGCTTCATCCCGGTCTCTCGGTTGGGTGCAGGGACCCAAACCTCGGCCATCTGCTCTCTCTGGGACATTAGCAGGGAGGTGGATCAGACGAGGAGCAGCCAAGCCCTGAACCAGCACCCGTCTGGTTGTTGGTGTTGCAGATGGCAGACTGACTCACTATACCACCACATCAGCCTCTGTTCCACACGTTTTGGAGAACTTGTGTGGTTTGAAAATAGCAACGCTGTATTTCACACCTTCTCCTCAACTTACTCGGACAGAGAACTGTGGAGACATGTCTTGAGGTCCTCCAGCATTTGGTGGGGTAGCAGAGTCTGTGACAGGACCTAGCAGGGCCTTGAAAACATTCGTAGACAGGCCTTGTGGTGCAGTAGGTTAATCCACTGCCGTGACATCCATGAGAGTGCCACCTCCAGTCCGGCTGCTCTGCTTGCGAGCCAGCTTCCTGCGAATGCAACTGGGAAAGCTGCGGAGGATCCTGGGGTTCAGGCTCCTGGCTTCCCTGTGGCCTAGGCCTGGCTGCTGTGGGAGCGAACCAGCAAAAGGAGCTTTCTCTCTTCCCTCCTTAACTCTGTCTTTCACATAAATAAGGGTTTTAATTTATGGATCAAAAATACTCAAAGGCAAAAAAAAAGTTCACCACAATGCTTAGTTATCAAAGGCAAGAACGGGGATGTGGGGAGAGTGTGGACTCCCGAGGTAGACGTGTTAATGGGATGCGAAGCCCCCCACTGGGAGGGACTTGGCGACCAGGCTGCCTGCTGGGCTGAGTCCCAGCCAGGACTCAGCGGGGCTGTCGCCAACAGCAGCCAACAGCGGGGATCCCTTGTTGCATGGGGCCGCTTGTTGCACTGCTAGCCAGGGACATATACACAGGACACATGTTCCTCCTTTTCAGCAGTGAGAAATATGGTGTTGTTGGAGAAAGAAGAAAAACTGCCAGAAGGGAGCCTTGGGTGTCTTAGGAGCCTGGTTGTGGCTCTGTGTGTGTGTCTAATTTGCACCTGTAACATTTGCACTTGGAGATTGATTTTGTTGCCTTTTCAATGAAGCCCGCGTTAGGCAGAGTGTTCCAACAAGTTCACGTAAGATGGAATGGAAAAACACGAGTTTACTTTGGTGCAAATCATGTTCTTTATGGAAAGCCTCTGTACAGATTTCTACATACTTGTTTGCAACAAGATAAACTTTCATTTCACTGTCCAGGGACTTCTGGAAGCCCCCCTCCTAAGCTGCTGTAGTCAAGGACCCCCTGGGAGCTACTGACCCGTTGGTTGTATCTGTTTCTTGGAGGTGCCCTCTTAGAAGCTGGCCACCTCCAACTGAGCAGCGTGACGCCCTGCCCCGCCCATCATGGCAGTCACCCTAACGCTGGGACACAAGGGACTCCCCTGCCCCTTGCCCAGAAGGACAGGATCCGGTGTGCAATGGCTCCAAGCTTTCCTACGTTGTCCGGGGTTGTCAAGTGAGTGTGAGCACGCTACTGCTTGTGCTCGTGTGGGAGTGTGTGGCCAAGCCAGAAGGACTCTAGGCACCAAGTGCGCCTCTGGTCACGCGGATGGTGGCAGTGTAGACGAGCCATTCAACTCACATCTGAGTAAGGATTTTATTTTAGAATAGCTAACAGGACAATCTCTCCCACACTCATCCCCGCCTGGCCTAATGCTTGCTTCTGGAATCTTTCCCCAAGACAAAAAAAAATCTTTCTTGATGTCCGTTTCATTCGCTGTGAAGCCGAAGACCTACACAGCAAAGGCGAGCAGAGAGGAAGGGATACAGGTAGCTACTTGCCAGCGTTCAGGAAAACATAGAATTAAAAAAATTGTTTGGTGGAAGAATTTTGAAATTACCACATAGTTTTGCATGTAACATACATTTTTCTTGAACTTTTTCATGCTCTGTCTTATGCGTGAATTTCAATTTTTTTTTTTTGCACCAAGGTTAAGGTTTGAATTCTATTTTTCCATGAACTTTTGGAAATTCCCTTGCGTCTGTAATATCCCCTGATGTTATCTTGGCGCTAACACCTGGCACATTTCAGCGGGCAAACAGACATGTGCCACAGGAAGCAAGGGTGCTGGTGCCTGCAGAGGCAGAGCAGGGAAGAGGGGCCAACCGGCCCAGGGTATCCTCCGCCCTGTGCCCCCCTGGAGTGGGCCTGCGCGCCACTCTCCAACCTCACGTGCTTTTGTGTCTGTTGGGGGGACACATTTTCTGTGCGTCACACAAGCCTATCCAGCAGCCATGGCAGAAGGAGGTCCCCATGGTGCACTAGGCTCTGGGACGTGACCTTGCCCTTGTGAGACAGAGGGTGGGGGTGGAAACTGGTATGTCCAATTTGGAGCTCAGCTCAGGGTGAGAAGGTGCTGTCAGGTTCTGTGAGGGAGAGACAGGCGCTGCCGGGAGGGGAGGTGGTGGGCATAGCCCTTCTGTTGCAGGTAAATGTGGTCGGGAGCTTCCTTCCTGGTGCCAAAGGGCAGGTGGCATATCATGTCCCATAGTGGGGACCAGAGGGGCTGTGGCTTACAGGCTGTCAGCGCACCCTGATGGCAGAGAAATGTGTCTTAGGCATCGGTTAAGAATAAGGCCGATTCCACTATTTATATTTGGGTAATTGTTCTTTGTGTACAGTTCAGGTTCCCCTGAAAGCCACTGGCATGGAGTGGGGTGCCTGGGCAGGGTCCTCAGCACTCCTGCTGCCACTCCCCAGGGCGCATCCCGCTTACCCATCCTGCCTTGGTCTGAGGCCTCACCTGCCCCGAGGAAGCCACTGGCCTCTGCTAACTCGCACGCCCCTCTGCGATGGATGTGGGGCGAGGACCTGGCGATCTGTCGGCTCCTCCTCCCCTGTTAGTTGTTGGCTGGGCAACAGGATGATCGCCACAAGCTTGAAGCAGCTTTCCAGGGACACTGTCCACATGGGAGGGGGCTGCCTCCCAGCCACTGTGCAGCCGCTGCTGGAGGCCAGCAGAGGGCGGAGTGGACTGAGCTCCCCAGGCTGCAGGGAAGGGATGCAGGCGGGAAGGGGCGGAGTCTCAGGTGCCACCAGGTGATGCTGTAGGTTCAAGGTACCTTTGTCCTTCATATTTCCTGCTGTTTGCTTAGAGCCTTGGCCTCGTACAAGCCTTCCGTTGATTTCAATGAGATAATGGGCGTAGAGGCCTTGGATGTGCTAAGAGGGCAAGGGATGGTAACTTCAGTCGTGTAAATCATGACCGTAAGGGCTACCGCAGTGGACAGATAGAATGAGGAGGAAGTCTGTCATAATCATGGTGATAATATCACACTGCCGCACCGTGGGATGGGAGCAGCTCTCTGGGTGGGAAACGCTTATCTGTGATGGAGGATTATACAGACGCGTCTTGCCCAAGGTTGTTGTAAAGCTAAAACTGCTCTAAAAAGTACTTGTTGTTTCAATGATGAGAGAAAAAACAGGTTCATCACCCAATTGATACTGTTGCTTTTTAATTTCATGTTGAGACTATTGCCCCGGGGTGGGCCCACTTCGAAGGCACAATTTGCTGATGGGAGGCTGGCCCCGACTGCTGTGCCCAGCACTGGCCCCAGTCGCAGGTTCCCACCAGGCTAAGCCTGCAGGGGAGCGGTAGACCACGAGCTCCATCCCTGTTCCCCCCCACAACCCAAGGGGCGTCCCATGGCTCAAGGGCTGGCTTCCTTTCCAGGGCCTCACGCAACACTCTTCTTTTGTGCACAGGAAAACGCGCGGCTAATCCGAGCGGTGGAGGTGGACAAGGTCTCCTCGCTGTCCAGGGACCAGGTGGAAGCCATCAAGCAGCTGTGGCGCGACCCCGGAATCCAGGAGTGCTACGACAGGCGGCGCGAGTACCAGCTGTCCGACTCGGCCAAGTAGTGAGTGCAGCCCGCCACGGGGCTCCGAGGATGAAGGGCCACCACAGGGCCACCTTCTGTTTGTCGGCTCTGCATGCCACACCTGGCTCCTTGCCGGGGACCCCATCTCCGGGTCCGTCTGGTTTCCAAGCCTGGCCTCTCTCTGAGACCAGATATATAGCCTTCCAACTCCCACTTCCTACATCTCTTTGACTTAATGCTTTTTCAAGCGGATGCCAAGATATAAAATGACCCTGAAATCAGTTTACACGCACAGCCTCTCAGCACCTGGTTGTGTGCTGCCCTCTTGTGGCGGCGGCCTGTATCTGCAGGGCCATCCCTCCCATCTCATAAATAATCCCTGGAGGTGGCGATCCGTTTGTATGTACTCTGCATGCCAACCAGAATTCGCACAATTTCATTTCCTTAGTAATTTCCAGATTTTTTTGGCCACCAGCCAGGCCACGGAGCAGTGATGTGATCTCCATCCTGGGTGAGGAAAGCGTTCCTTTTGTGGCTCAGCTCCTTCCCACTTGCCCGGCACCATCTTCCATTCTAGCCTCAGGTTCCTGAACCCTGTCCCAAGACCCGTGCCCTCCCTTCAGGGGCAGCCTCTGTGCTGGCCTGGGCAGGTGCTCACCACCCACCGCCTCACGCCCCTTCAGCTGGACAAAGCAGGACAGTGCAGTGGAAATGTTATCCCCAAAGACTTCACCGGCATCTGCCGGGCAGTTGTACCGGGCTCCGTTTAACATTGTTTATCTAAGAGTGCACACTAACTAATTGTGGGGAATATCTAGATTGAAAAAACCCCGCAGTAAAGCAGCCAAGCAGAAACTGCCCCGCTGAAGGCCTGGATCAGCACAGAGATGCGGAGGAGGAGGGCAAGATTGACTGGCAACCTAGGGTGTCAGGCAGGGCTCAAGGTCAGCTACGGAGCTCCCACCCCTGCCTGACGGTGTTTCTGGGAAGGCCCCGAGGGTTGGCTGGGCTCTTGATGTAGCTCCATTTGGATCCGACTCACCAGAAACCGCTGCAGAGTTCAGGGGGACTCTGCAAAGTGGGAGACGCCCACCGAAGATGGCTGTGGTGAGGCTGGAGGCTCGCACGTTTCCTTGGGCCAGGTCTGCAGGGTGTCAGATGCCGTTAGTAACGTCTGCCTAGGTGGGTGTGTGGCTCCACTTCACACGGCATCTGACAAGTGCTGGTGATGGGGTAGGGGCCACGCTAAGGGCACCAAGTGCCTCCTGTGCTCAGGAAGAGCAGTCAGGTGGCATGGGGCAGGTGCGCTCCTGGGTCAGAATGCCAATGGTGGGAGGTTGTGGGGAGGGGCGTGCAGGGGCCTAAGCCTCCGTTTTCCCATCTGTAGAATGGACTGACTGTCCTACTGACTGTGGGGGCCACATGGGCCAATGTGTGGGAGAGGGGAAAGGGAGATGACACCAGCATCTCATCTTGGAGGTGATGCTTAAGCTTCAGGGCAGCGCTGGAAGGGTCAGGGAAAGGCGTTCCAGGCAGAGGGGCCAGCAGGGACAAGGTAACACAATGGGCATGGCCCGTGTAGACAGGGAGTAGACCAGTAAGGCAGGGTGTGGGGCATTTTGGCAACTGCCAGCAGAGTTTGGCTGTTGCGAACGAAACAAGGAGCTAACTGTGACCAAAGAAAACACCAGCTCTCTCGTGTGTCCTTCCTTGCATTTGTACCTCAGCAATGCACTAGGTCCAGGGGTGAGAGACGTGAGAGCAGAGGAGGAGAGGGGCAGAGCCAGCCTCTTGCCAGCAAGTGCTAACAGGGCCGGAGTGAGTTATTCCAGTAAAAAAAGCCTCCCTAAAGGCTTTCCAGTGTGCTCTTCTAAAGCATTATCATTTGTTTCCATTGAAAATGGTATGTTTTAAAACTTAGGCCTCTAATATATGGCTCAAAATAATGTAGGACAAGTTTTGGGTTATTTTAGAGGATGTACAGGCTCCTGATATGTTAAACAGGAAAGATCTTGTTATTTTCTAAGGATTTTCCCTTGTTCTAAGCTTCTCTATGGCTTTTGCTCAATGAGTGTTTCTACAGAGGACAGCATCAACCCAGCTAAGATGCTTGCACGAGGGTGGACGGTGTAGGCTGCTGGAAGGAGGCAGGGAGATGGGAAGTCGGCAGTCCTTTCCACATCCCAGTCCTTCCAGCTCAGCCATGGAGCTTCAACAGCCTGAAGACCAGCTTCTGCAGTGGTCTCCTCACTGGTCATGGGAAGGGGTATGGTGGCCAGGCCACCCGTGTGTCCGTGGGGGGGTCCCTGCTGAGTCAGGAGTCCCTTCCCTTCAAGGAGCCTCAACTCCTCCTCTGGCTTTGCAGCTACCTGACGGACATTGACCGGATCGCCTTGCCATCCTTTGTGCCCACCCAGCAGGACGTGCTTCGTGTCCGGGTGCCCACCACCGGCATCATCGAGTACCCGTTTGACTTGGAAAACATCATTTTCCGGTAAGACTGTCTCCCTCACATGGTCCTTTAAGAATCGGCCTGCCAGGCCTAGGAGTTCCCAGATGGACTGCTAGTGTGTTCTTGCTAAGCACAGGTCGTGCTGCTATCCCTTGGGGCAGAACGAACCTCTCCCGAACAGAAGAGGAGGAGGGTGCTAGGCAGGTCTCAGTCCTAAAACAGGGAGCACTCGCCCTTCCGGTGAGCCTTGGAGAAGGGGCTCCTTCCTGGACAACTGAACAACTTATCACATGGAGATAAAGGATCTGGTAACAAAAGGCACACACTGGCTCTGGCAGCTTCCTTAGTTAAATAATACTTTATTTTTCCTTCTACAAACGTATCCTTTCAGAAACAACAAAGGGGGCAGGCATTGCACAGCTGTCCAGACATGGTTAGGGTGCCCGTGTTCCCGACTCCAGCCACCGAGAGGCAGTGCGGATGGCTCACAGGCTGGTCCCTGCCTCCCTGACGGAAGACAGAGTTGCATTCTCTTGGCTTCTGTCTGGAGCTTCCTGGGTATTCAGGGAGTAAGCAATGGATGTAAGATCTCTGCCATCTGGGTTTGTCATGTGAGTGGCAGGGTGTAGCTGCCACGGTGAGGCGGGGCACGGGCATCCGGAGCAGCATGTTCACCCGCTGTGCCATCATGCTGACCCCGCAGCCTAACCTGTGGACAATGACTTTCCCTTTCTAGCTTTATTTGAATCATGAAAACGTCCTTGCAGAAGCATCTGCACCTCCAGGACCTGGTGTGAGGACACAGTACAGTTCTGCTTCGCTTCCCTTTTCTAGCACAGTTCTGTGGGGGCAGGGAGAGCGGGCGGTCAATGGGACCCCCCAGCTACCCTTGTCAAGTGTCTGCCAGGGTTGGTGTCAGGGGGATAGGTGGGGAAGAAAGGGTGTGACTCCACAGTTTGTGGCCTGTTTCTAACCCTCAGACGCATTCACTTTTGCCAATGTAGCATCACAAAAAGAACAACAAAAACAAACTTTGGGGCAAAGGTTTTAAAACGGAGATGCTTCATTCAAAACAGGTGCCATTTTGTTTCTCCCGCAGAGCCTGAGCAGTTGGTCACAGTGAGTCTGCATCCTGCCCAGCATTAGTCAAGAGGTCAGAGCTAGTGATGGGGTAGCCACCCTGCTGGGTAGGGCCCCTAGTTCTTGGGCTTTGCAGCTCTGGAGAGGCCCACCTAACGTGTTGTCATCAGCTGCCTGAGCCCTAAGCCATGAGAGCATGGGATGCCAGCGCTCGAGTCTGGGGCATTTCCCCCAAAGCCTCAGCTAATGGCTTTGGATTTACATGCTGGATGGAGGGCAGGCACCTGGTTTCATCTAGAGAAGGGCTGGCACATAAACTAGATGAGCCATGAAAACAAGAACTGACCCAGTGCCGGTGCAAGCTGGAGGACCTGGGGGACTGTTTGCTTTCTCCTCCCTTTGCTATTTTGAGACTTCAGATGTCTGTGGGCTCTGCCTGGCCTAGGACAGCAGTCTGCTAATGAGGGTTCCCAGTAGGCCTCAGCCAAGTGTCTGTCCTCTGCATTTACATCCCGTGCCTCCTTTGCTGGGGAACACCCATTCATTCCTCATTGCTAAACTGAAAACCCCCCTCAAAAGAAGCGTGTCTTCCAACCTTGGGGATCTGTTTCCACTCAACAGGATGGTCGATGTGGGTGGCCAGCGATCTGAACGACGCAAGTGGATTCACTGCTTTGAGAGCGTCACTTCCATCATTTTCTTGGTGGCTCTGAGCGAGTATGACCAGGTCCTGGCTGAGTGTAACAACGAGGTAAGCTGTGGTCAGCTTTGTGTCAATAGAAGGGTGCAGGTCACAGTCCTAGAGGGCCAAAGTCCCAGTGACACAGGCACTGATGGAGGCTGCTCCTGGCCCGTGTCGGTGTTTGCTGGGTTACAGCAGCAAAGTGCTGGCAGAAGCCAGAGGCAATGGGAACTGGCTTGCTCCTTCTTTAACAGTCCTTTCATGAAAACTCAAGGGGCCACCTCTTAAAGGTCCCACACCTGCTAATGCCACCATCTCGGGGGCCAGGGTTCCAATCATGTTTTGGGGGACATGATTAAACTGTGTCCAGACTTCCAAATTAACAAGAAGCCAGCCAATTATGGCAATTCTTGAGGCTGCATAGTTTTTGCTAGAAAGCGTGATCTGGGGATGAATGGTGCTCCTTGGGGCTCAGGCCAGCTCAGTTACAAAGCTGCACTTTGTGACCATGGAGGTGCAGCCTTAGGCGATTTCATCACTGCGCAAAGGTCACCATGGTGCGCTTCCACAAACTGAGATGGGACCTGCCTCCCGCCTCAGGGTAGCTTCCCTTACCTGGTCTGAGCGCAGGCTTTCCACCCCATGGGCCCATGACACTGACCAGGTAGGTCCAGAGGTGCTGGGGCTGCCATTACGCTGCTGGATTCTATTCCCTCACCTGATCTGCTCCCACATTCCAGAAGCTCCCCAGTGATTGCTCTGAGTTTAGGGTTGTCTTCTGAAGTTCTTCCCACTGAAGTTGCACAGGCTTTTCCAGGGCATGAAGGACTTGAGAGCAGACCTGACCCTGAGCAACACAGGTACATTAGGTAATTAGCGGCGGATTAACCTATTTACATGTGTCATTGTGCAAAGAGAGCTTGGCTGTTGCCCTGCTCTCCCGAGGGGGAAAACAACAATTAAACAGAGGCTTTAATTTTGTTTGGAATAGCTGGGGGCTGTCGTTAGGAAATGGAAGATGAAATGGGGGGGGGAGGAGGAGAGAAGAGGGGAAAGAAAGAAAGAAAGAAAGAAAGAAAGAAAGAAAGAAAGAAAGAAAGAAAGAAGGAAAGAAGGAAAGAAGGAAAGAAGGAAAGAAGGAAAGAAAGAAAGAAAGAAAGAAAGAAAGAAAGAAAGAAAGGAAAAGAAAGGAAAAGAAAGGAAAAGAAAGGAAAAGAAAGGAAAAGAAAAGAAAGAACCCACCCACCCACCCACCCACGATAACGAAAGTGGCTGCCTCTGGTACGTGACATCCTGGTAATCAGCTGTTCAATGTGCTGCACGTGTGTGTGGCTCCATGCAGATACCAAATCCGAGCATAGTCAAGAATTAACTCTTCATCTGTTTTTAAAACTATCTCCCCTGTCAGGCAGATGTTACAACAGGTGCGCCTTCTCTGGCAATACATTCCAGCTCTGCATCCCCACAAGGAATGTGCCCAGATTGGGAGCTGTAAGGAAGTGGGGGTTTATGGCATGTCCCTCTTGGGGCACGTGAGCTGGTCTTGGATTGTCAGCCTGACCACTCTCCTCTGTGGAGGTAACTTCCTATTCCTTTCCTCTAAGCATTTTGCTGTCCCAAAGATTTCTACCTGGGACAGATACTGCCACTAGACACATGCACACCCTGTCTGCTCCCCATAAGCTTTCTTACCAGCGTCTAATATTTTACAAGTTATTTTTTTAACCTAATCTTCACCAGACCCTGGTATTATATGGACGTGGAAAAGTTAAGTTTCTTGAACAATGGTATGCTCACCCATGCACTAGGCAGCCCTTTATTTGCCAGAGTAGATCCCTAGTGGCCAAAGCTTCCTTCAGGGCCAGTGCCCGGCTTGAAGGCCTGCCTTCCTGCTGTGGCAGTTCCGGAGGCAGAGCCTGGGATCCTACAGCCACCAGACCTAAGAGGGCCACTGTGCTGGCTCTGGAGGACTGTCTGGGATCCTACAGCCACCAACAGTGGCCCTCTTGGGTCTGAGGCCAGCACTTCTCCCTTAGAAATTCCAGCAATCACACAGTGCAGGAGACCTTCAAACAGGAGTGGGAACTTTCCTTCTCAATGTTGCACCAAAGCCTTTCTCCTCTCCATACATGGCAGTGCTGGGGCTAAGAACCAAGGCACTGCATGCGGAGATGTACAAGTGGACACTTCATTAATGGCACTCTTAGAAGCAGGGCGGGAAGAGGGCAGACAACTGGGTGAGCAGTTTGTCCCAAGTCCTTTGTTTCTCACCTAGAACCGCATGGAAGAGAGCAAGGCCTTGTTCAAAACCATCATCACTTACCCCTGGTTTCTGAATTCATCTGTGATTCTCTTCTTAAACAAGAAGGATCTTTTGGAAGAGAAAATCATGTATTCTCATTTAATTAGCTACTTCCCAGAATACACGGGTAAGTGAACATTCATTTTGGGAATCAGGGTTTGGTGTCTGTCCTGAGAAGGGCCCTGCACACAGGCCTCTGACCAGAAACCCAACTCGCACCCAGTATGTTTCTTTCACAACCAAACCTTTACCCATGCTAACTCCTTTGGCTTTCCCAGAGCCCAGCTGAGGCCACAGCTCCTAGGCAGAGCCTGTTATACCTCTACCTCCTGGGGTACCAGAGCAGTGCCCCCTTGGTCCCTCCTGGCTGTCACTGTCCTGCTCCCTCCCTCAGCTCTCTCTTCAGTCAGTTCTTTAGGCCAGAGACTGCACAACTCATCTTTGCATACCAGCCCTTACACATCCCTCAGAAACAGGTGCACACATTCAGGTTCTTTACACATAAAACCTACTGAGAATGTCTAGACTGGAACCTCTCCACTCTTAAGCCCGACAGCGGTGTTTGGAGAACTCAGGGTGTGCAGCTTTTTCCCCCCTTTTAGCTGCATAACAGAGCCCTCAAGTTTTAAAATCAGACTAAAAATGTTTCCACATTCATTCTTTCCCTTTCACAGCCTACATCTGTCTACTTCCCCCTTTACAATTCCTTTCCCTGATGGCTGCAACAGCTGGGGCTGAGCCGCATGCAGGAGTCTTATCCGGGCCTCTGTGGGTGGCAGGGTTCCACATATGCAGATCATCTATTGCTGCTTTTCCAGGCACAGCAGCAGCAAGCTGAATCCAAGCACAGACTGGAACTCACACTGGCACCCCAACACCAAATGTGCCACCATTTTTTACAGAAGTCACATTAAACTGTAATGTTTACGGGGGGCTAGCACTGTGGTGGGGAAGGCTAAGCCACTTGCCTGTGGTGCTAGCATCCTATTGGGCACTGGTTTGACTCCACTTCCAAGCTGCTGTGCCTGAGAAAGCAACGGAGCAGAGTCCATCTGCAGGGAGGCTCAGAAGCAGCTCCTGGCTTTGGTCTGGCCCAGCCCTGGCTGCTGAGGCCACGTGGGGAGTAAAGCAGTGGACGGAAGACCCATCTTTCTCTGCTTTTCATACATATATTCCTTCAAAATGTGTAGATGCCAGTGGACAATAATTATTTTATGGGTTCATAGTAAAATATGATGCCCCACATTACCTATTCCCTAGAGAGAAAGGCTCACTCTGGGTCGACACGCTGATGAGTCTCCTCCTTCCTCATCAGGTCCGAAGCAGGATGTCAAAGCTGCCAAAGACTTTATCCTGAAACTTTACCAGGATCAGAATCCAGACAAAGAGAAAGTCATCTACTCGCACTTCACGTGTGCGACGGACACGGAGAACATCCGCTTTGTGTTTGCTGCTGTCAAAGACACCATCCTGCAGCTCAACCTCAGGGAGTTCAACCTCGTGTAGGGGCGCCGCCAGCCCACACCAGCCCTCACCCTGCCAGGCCCTGAGGACACCATGCAGCCTGGGCAGAGGGTAACGCAGCGTGCAGGAGTCGTCTGAGTTTAGTTGACTACAACCTTGTAGAACTTTTAATTTTCCAGTTATTTTAATAATTCTACTTTTTTGTATAATTTTTGAATTGGGGATCAACAGGCCACTTTACACTTTAAAAGGCCACTTTGTACTTCTTCATATAAATTAGATTTTAAGTATGTTTATTACAAGGCAGTAAAGCAAGCACAGTTATAGGGGGCTGATAATTTACAGATCCTGCCTTGAGTCTTCTGGGGTTAATCTGGCAAACTTTTCCAAAGGAATGTGAATGGAATAAAAAAATTTTTTTTTAAATCTTGTAAAGCCAATCTAAATTGCTTTTCTCATGCTGCAATATGAGTCCATTCGCATGCCATCAGAAAGGGTTCTGTGTTAACTTTCTAAGCCAAATTAATGTGTTAGTATCGCCACAATCTTATCAAAAACCCAAAGCTACATATGGTAAATGGATTCTAGACAGCATATATGCTGTATTGGCAAAAGTGATACTGTAAACATTAGAATATATATTCAGTGTAAATGACCAGATTTTGTGCACTTATGAAATGGTTACCAGGCCAAACTGTTTAAAAGATGTAATGTAACCCTTGCCAAAATTCTTAAGACCACCTTAGCTTTGCTGTTGGATGCATGCTATGAGAATAGAGCGTTCAGACACCTGCACTGGGCTGTGTCGTGTTTCCTAGAGCTCCAGGTTGACTGACGGCTGTGACCCCTGAGTTAACTCAGGAACAGGCCTCAAGTCTGTATTCACTGTCTGACCTCAGCCTTCCCTTGGTGCTGGGCATGCTGGAGAGTGCAGGGGGTCACACTTGAAGGTACACACGCACACACAACACTCGAGGGACAGGACGCACCTTACCTAAGTCAGCATGCGGACAGACTGGCCCCGACTTCAAACAGCTTCCCTTGCTAACGGTGCGAGAGTGGCAAGTGTTCAGTAGAAACCATACCTGCAGTGCTAAACTCTGACCTTCGTCCTACGAGAGCCGTGTGTGGGTAAATATTCTACCAATGCTGGGCAGCAGCAGTCAGTCACACTTGTCAACATTTGGCACGCTACAGTGGCCTGCCTTGCTAAGCTAGGATTTCCAGCTGATACCCTCCCAGCTTAACAAAGCATAACAGGTTTTGTGACAGAACACTGCCCGTACTCTAGCACCTACCCTGAGTCTTCCTTCCATCTATCAGGCTTCCAGGTTCTCATTCTGGTGGATCCACTGCAGGTACAAAGCTGGGGGAGACTTAACTTATGCTTACAAACAGAAGGTCTACCGTAGCAGCGCTGACATCTGAAAACCAACCTCAGTGGCATGGACAGTGTCCGGCCCCCCACCCGCACAGGGCCTGTAAAATCATTTGGCTTGACCCAGCCAGGCAATTGCAGGTGGGTGGAACTCAAAATTCAAAAAATTGATTGATAGACATTTTTAAAGTTGATAAGTATGTTATAAATAACCAAAAAGGCCATTTGTAGAAAAAAAGGTTTCTTACCTTTGCTAGATGCACTCAGCAGTACATTTTGTGGAACTTGAAAAACTGAAAATCCACCTGAAATGGTAAAGTTCTAGGACTAGTGAGACAATTCTGCACACGAGCCAGACCTGGGGGTGCGGCTCTTCAGGGAGTCTGGAAACACCAACAAACACCAAGACAATGTCCCCTACTCCTCCTCAGGTGACGTTAAGAACCGGCTCGCATTGGCCAATTAATATGCAAAGGGTTCAAGAGAATTGAACCTCTCTGCCATTAGAGAGATTATAAACTTTTTCTTTTGTAATTTCAAGAATTCCATAGCAATGAGCTATTGATTTACACAGCAACCAAGGCACTGCTGCCTTTAAAAAGCTCTGGTTGAGGCAGGGCTGTCAAATAATCATTTAAGGATTATTTAAATGTAACGATGTATTTGCTTACCTTGTGGAAAAGCTGAGCTCTCCTTAGCAGAGGTGAATTAATGTCCTACCGCCACTGGTTCTGTAGTTAGAAATCTCCCCCTGCAGAAGCGCACCACTACACACTGGGGCAAGGAGCAGGACGTGAGAGGGGCACTGCTATACTTTGGGCTCCACTGAGCACTGCCACACACACTGGCTCTTCACAGTGACCTGCTGGGCTGACATGCCACCCACAGGGCTGAAAAAACAAGGCTTTGGGGAGAACTGAGGGAAGCAACGGAAGACTACTGATGATGGTTCTGCTTCTAACTAAAATAAATGCAGGCTGAAGGTCAGAAATTTTAATTGACTCAGTGTATTGGAAATAGACAGGGCTCAACTGGGTAGTTACCTTACCATGCAACCCGTGAAATAACTACCGTTTAAAAATATGTCCTTAAGGAGCATGGCCAGCCAATTTTTACAAAAAAAATAAAAGACTAAATTCCGGTTCAAGATAAAGAACATCACTATAAATATTTGTGTATATAAACTGTCTTAGCAGAATACACAAAATAGGCAGCCGGGCTGAGCTCACACAAAGAAACAGAAAAGAGAAGAATTAGATGCAGAAATTTAAAAAACTAATCAGCATAAATGAAGCTAATTTCACACAGTATATGTGTTCCCAATAAGTCTACATTTGGTCAACATAAACATTAGCAGGAGAAATGCATCTCCCTTAAAGACCGTCCTGTGTAATACATGACTGCACAGCAATAACATTATAACAATCAATTACAACGTATCCAATCGTGTCACAAGTTCCACAGACAATTGCTCAGAGTTCAAGTACAAAATTACTGAACTTGAGAACATTTCTATGTAATCTATATTTTTCTTGAATGTTTTTACACCCCAAAATTGAGATCTTTTGGGTAACCAAGAGGTTTCTTCCCACATGATCCACTTGAAGTATACATCTGATTAGGTGATGTATTACAGCCATCTCACAGGGTTTCTTGTTACAAGGAATACATCAAGGAATCTGAGCGGTTCTAAATGAATGGTGTTCACTGACAGAAAATTTATGTTTTTAGGAAGTAATACAGCAGGAGCCAATCAACCTACAAATTTTGAAGTAACATTTTTCATGCAGCTCTATAAGTAACAAAACTTACCATTTTTTTTGGAAATGCCATGTTGCTTTTAAAAAGAACTAATCCATCATGCTAAATAAATAAAACTGTTAAAATGCCAAAGTTTATTTTATAAAAGAATACAGTGGAAAAGGGTTTCTGTTAGACACAAATACGTTCCCTTGTAATGGAACTGGAAACAGCATTTTCTCAATGTGCTAGTCCTATTTCTAGGGTAGCCCCAAAACTAACACTGCTATTACAATTACGGAGGAAAGAAAAGTGGGGGGACTAAAGTGCACCATTAGCTGTTCTGATGGACAGTTAAAAAGACAGGTTACAATAACCATAACATTTCACCTGATGGATGCTGGCTCGGCTACATTAGCACTGAGACTTAACGTCCGGAAGATCTTTGAGCGCGTTAGGACAGTGGCTGCTCCTGTCTGAGTGCAGGATAATGACACTAGAGCACCAAGGAGACCAGCTCCGATACGCTCTGCACTGAGTCATGCATAAGGAATGCAAAGTGAGTGACATCTTCTTTTTAGAGAAATAAGGAAATTCATTATTTTCTGTTAAAACATACTGTCGGGCCTGGCATGATAGCCGAGTGGCTAAAGTCCTCACCTTGCATGCCCCAGATCCCATAGGGATGCTGGTTCTAATCCCAGCGGCCCCGCTTCCCATCCAGCTCCCTGCCTGTGGCCTGCAAAAGCAGTCGAGGATGGCCCAGTGCCTTGGGACCCTGCACCCACCAGGGAGACCCAGAGAATACTCCGGGCTCCTGGCTTTGGATCCGCACAGCTCTAGCCATTGTGACTGCTTAGGAAATGAATTTGCGAACAGAAGACCTGTTTCTCTTCCTCTCTGTATATCTGGCTTTTCAATAACAATTAAAAAATTAATCTTTAAAAAAACCGTATTGTCATTGGATAGCACCCCTTAGCATCACCGTGGAAAATCAGTAATCTGTCCCTCTAAGAATGTCCACCTATATCAGATTCTCAGTTCTAAGGGCCTAATTAGTCAGAAGGTAAGCAAAGCAAATTCAACTTACCAAAAGGAAAACCACCTTCATTTCCAATACAACTGGGTGGGGCGTCTTGCTGACTGAGGCTTGTAGCCGATCCCAGTGAGTCACGTGAAGGCATCTCTTGCACACATAAATGGTAACACTAACTATCTTATCTTCTGTGCTAAGGACAGATGTCACAAGACTCCTGAACGAGGACCCCACGCTGCTCACAGTCACAGGATGGTCCACGCCCCTGGCAGCAGGCTTTCAAGCTATCCTTAGAATTCAAGATAAGGAGTAAAAACACTTTAAATTGTGATGCATTATACACAGTATAGAGCATTTCACAGAGTATTTCAGGAATTCATATTTACACTTGTTACCTGTTCTACTGGTTCCCTATTTTCTATTTCACTTTTACAATATGCTGGTCTTGAGGTGTTACGTTGGTTTCATAACCTCATACAGGATTAAGAGCTCTAGCCTGGGGGATGGGGGGACCCCCGCACACCGCTGCCCGATGATACTGGTTGCCCTTGAGGAAAGGCAACAGCAGCCCTGGACCTCCGACTGCAGCGACCTCTGTGGGCCGAGGCACCCAGGGTCAGTTGTTCCCATTTCAATCGCTATACTTCAGCCTTCTAAAGGTACCCAAGCAGGTATTCTGTCCCTATCTTTTCCATGCGGAGGCCTACCCAAAGTGGTCACTTGGTATAACATGAAGCACCAAGTACCCATGGCAACTGATAATGAAGGCGCAGAATTATTGGCACATGATCTTTGAATTGTTTTTTCTTACCAGATAGAAACACCGAGTAATACCCTGTTCCTAAGTGAAGAGCTAAGTATTTCTCAGATTATCACTGCTCTTGCTCACTATGGAGAAAAAGATCACTATGATAGGAACTTTCTTACTTGGCTGTAGCCAGTATGGCTGGCTTTAAAGCTTCGGACATTCAAGAGCAAAGGTAGGGCTGCCTAGAGGTGCTGGTGATGATCCCACAGCCAGAACAGAAGCCGCACTAACTGCCCCAGGACAAACCCTGAGAACTTGCTAACCAGGGGAGAAAACTGCCAAATGAAGCCACTGCAGACACACATGTCCTTTGTCTCAGACAGTGTTCTGTGATTTTTAAGAATTTACAGGGTTCTTTTTGTACTAGACATCTAAATTGCTCTTTCTAATAATTCTGCGTTTCTGGAGTTAACAGGGGACATTCTGTCTTAGTTCCACAGAACTAGCACTGGCCAGATTATACACTGTGCTAGAATTAATGGCCTGGGGAATATAGTAAGCAAATAAACAGGGATAGGAAGAAGGCATAAGGACATTTTTCCATAGCAACTATAAACAAAGACACAATGCTATCAAGTATATAGCCATTAGGTAGATTTAATTCAGGGAAAAGTTTATTTTCCAGTCTAGTTAAGGTTCTGGACATGTTACATAAACATAGGACTGCAGAAACAGGCACAGACCCATGAAATTGTAAAATGCTACACTAACAAAAACTGACTCACTGCCTAGTACTCTACTGATTCTTTTTTTGTTTAGAGGACAGTCTTTTAAGAAAACGGTTAAACTGCACACCTTGAAATTGTGGGTCTTCTACCCTGCAGACAGAGGAAGTGATGGGAGGTGATGTGTAAGGAAGAACAAGGGGCATCCCAAGGGGAGGGGAAAGACAGATGCACTGGCTTGCAGGTGCTCCACTCTCAGGAACCATTCCTGCTGCCTTCCAGAGGAACCAAAGATAATCACACAGTTCTCAGACAACCACTGCATCTATCTGCACTAGTTTAGGCCTTTTTACTTTATTGATGGATGTCCAGAGAGTTCTTTTTCTAAGAATGTTGACGTTCAGAAACTGGGGAAGGTAATAAGAAATTTGACTAAAGGCACTGAATGGAATACCAGTAAAGCAACACTTGTAGCTGAGGACACGCTGATGCAAACCTTCTGCCTACCTCTGCTCCTAGGATTCATTTGCTATGAGAGGAGCTCAGCAAGTGAGCATACATACCAGATGCTGGGCAGAGCTCCCGGACAGACACCATCTCAGGGCCAGATCTGTTACCTCTGGGAGGAAGCACACTGGGAACTGAGGCAGCATTTGTAACCAGACAGAAGTTAGGAAGACGCAGCGCAAGGACTGGTCACTGAGATACAATTACAGTCTGCATGCTGTTTATTTGAGCTTTTACAACAAAGCAAGGGTTTGATTAGTTTGAGAATTCCACAACCATTGACTATACAGAATCTTCAATTCCAAAAAGTTTGCAGTAATTTGGCAGCACAGAAGACATGCATGGAATACTCTGTATTCTCAGTAAGTAAGATAATGCATCCATCATTCTCTTGATAGTTCGTAGTGATACATTCATCCCTTTTCAGGTAAAGCAGTTCATTTAATATTAAGGAACAAAGATCTTGGACAAAAACCAAGAAAAATAACCCATGGTCTTATTTTGACTAATATACAGCCCATGATTTGTACTCTGTTGAGCTATACACTTGAAGGAGTGATTTCCACTTGAATAGTTACAAAGAAGGCAAATTAGATATTCTCAACTATTGTGACAGGTTATATTTTGAGGTACATAAATTTATGTAGGCGGTGGGGGGAGGACTGTATGTTTTGAAGCATAATGAATTACAGTCATGACAGTGGGAATTCTGCTTCCTTCAGGTTAAGCTACCAGTGAATGGAAAGTAGGTGTCAGTAAGGCTTCCGGATTTGTCCTGTAAAACCAGTGGTCTATCAAAAAATGACCCAGGTAAACCAAGCCACTCCACGGAGCTGGCTTGTGGAAGTATCTGTAAGGCGTTACATTTCTGAGAGGGACTGTCCCTTTTTGGGTATGATAGCCATTCCTCCAAGCCTTTCCTATTCAATCCATATTATACATTAGCTTTTAATAATCATGGTATATATTAAGTATAATGTAAATTATCCTTTATTTAAAGTATAAGGAAAATAATACTAAAATACTTATTTGTAATGAAGATTTCATGATTTTTAAGAAACTATCTCCAAAGCCACCTTGAAGCCACTGTGGCGATGTCCGATTCACTCGTGTGCTCATTACTCAAGAGCCTGAGCAAGCACGAGCGAAGCTGATGGAATACAAACTCGGAGCACTCCACTCCCCATGGAGACAGTTCACGAGTAAGCTTCTCCACATTACACAAAATAGCCTGGAGCAACAGTTAAGGTTCCTAGAAGACACATTGCTGTGTGCACAACACCACCTCAATTCTGGCCAGATGCAGGACTCACGGGAGATGATCCAGTGCATCTCTGAATGGCTGACTGTTTAATCAGTGTTTCACCTGATTTCTATAAATGTTACCTAGAACACACGGTACTTGGAATTGCCTCTTCCAAATCTCCCAAGCAGGCTTGGGAAGGCACAGTGTTGAAGCTGTGGTTGTTTATTGCTGTGTGTCTTCGGGCTGTGTTCTCCATCAGAGGCTTGGAGAAGGTTCTCTTGCCTCTTCTAGCTTTGTGAGGATCCACTGTGGGAGACATAAGCTCACAGTTACCTCAATTAACTCAACAATGAAAGTAAAAAATAGACGTTCACTTTCCATTTACAGTAGATGTAGGCAGACAGTCAACATAACATTCCAACTGCATAAAAGATCACACATTTAAACTGATAGATGGTCAGGGACAATAGTCCTCAGTATGCTTTGTAAACAGGAATAGGGCCCAGTGCGGAAGCCTGCTGGCTGGAGTCCTTGTCTTGCACGTGCCAGGATCCCGTGTGGCCAACAGTTAGCATCCCGGCTGCCCTGCTCCCATCCAGCTTCCTGCTTGTGGCCCGGGAAAGCAGTGGAGGATGGCCCAAGGCCTCGGGACCCTGCACCCATGTGGGAGACCCAGAAAAGGCTCCTGACTTCAAAGCGGCTCAGCTCCAGCCATTGTGGGTATATCTGACTTTCGAATAAAAAAGTAGGAATTAAGGAATTAATACTTTTCCAAGGGCTTTTGACTTGCATGTTCATCTTTATAAAAAGCAAAGTACACTGAAGCTTCCTGAGGCAAAAGGAAGCTTGGTAGCTGGAAGACACAACGGGCACAGTATGAAAAGACATGTTTGAATGGAACCTGTGTCCATTTTGTTCACACGCAGGACTGTACTGATTGAGTAGTTCCCATGCAGGCAGTCCCACAGCTGCCAGAGCTTCAGATCTTTCAGCATTTTGCATGGTCTCATGATACATTTCTAAATAGGACGCAAATCCAATTCAAACCTTTTTACCAATAATGTCCCTTATTTTGAGGAT